CGTATTCTCCCCAAACGCTTGGTTTATGTTGCGTGCAGCTTTTGCAGCACTATTACCAAGTTTGTACTCATATAAGAAAATGACGCGAATGTCGGCAGAATTCATATCGGTAATAAACTCAAAAGAAATAAAAAAGGGAAGACCTTCGAGAAAACCTATTTTGTTGAAATGAGTCTCTGGCAATGGACAATACGAGTATGAATGAGGTTATGCCAAATACAAAAGTATAACGAAAACAGGGTAGGAAAACGTCCGCATGTAAAGAGAATCCGACATTTCATACGCACCAACCTAATAGTATAGCCATTTTCACTTCAGTTTTTTTATTTGTCAAATTGCAATAATGCATGATGAGACAAAGCACATTAGCTAAAAACGTTTGCCAGTTATTGTAGTTAAATTTTTTGAATATGGAATGGCTAAGGATGGTACTTATTCCCATTTCGTCAAACATGCTCAAACAAAAAAAGCCCATTTGACAGCGCTAGATTTTTCAACTGAATTTCTAGATAAATCAATTAAACTAAGTAAATTTTCTTCATTTAATTCGAGCAATAATTTTGGTCTGAACGAAGATTAATTTATTATATTATTACTATGGGTTGAATTGCTGAAATTTCCAGACAAATATATCGATGGGATAAAAAGAGCACGCGTGTGGCATAATAGACAGCGCACGTGTCTGCTGTACTAGAGCTTCCAGGTCCGCTTCCAGGAAGAACCAAAATATTTTCATACATTGTGTCTCTTTTCAGATGATTGGCAAATCACCGAGAGTATCTTTGCCACGAGAATCTCAAAACTGTGGTTCGAAATCGGCTTATCGGTTAAACAGTAGGCGTTAAACAGTAGATCTTATACTTGTTTATAATCCGCGTATATATAACAACATACATACATATATACATTTGAGTATTGGACAACGGCGAAAGATGTTATAAAACTGACATATATTAGGTGCTTGAATTAATTATCTTCCTTGGCTAACAGAAATCAGTAGTTGTGTTATTTCAACATAACCGAAAGTGACTGTTGATATATATGAAAGTACTGTCAATAGACTTTAATAATCAGTGATATTAAATCGTAGTGCAAAGAACACAATTTTTTATTACATTAAAGATGTCGGGTTTCGTACAAAAAAAGGAACATTTGCGGGAAGCATTACTTTTCTGCCTCGAAAAGTGCCCGTAGATCGTCAATTTATATGAAGGGTAAAAAACAGGAATGCAGCATTAAAGAGGAATATCAGCAGTTATAGAGAAATATCAGTAACCAACACAATTAGTAGAATATACAGAAAGATTTTAACCCATTAATTAATTAGCCCAAACGACGCGAATTTTAAGTAACTTTCACCGAGTTTTTTTTAATGGTATTGGTCTACAAAAAAATTTCACAGGCTCTTTTCCGACGTAAAATTTCATGTTCTTTCAGAATCCGAGGTCAAAATTGCGATTAACCCTTAAAGAAAAAAAATATAGCCGATTTAAACATGAAAAACGTGAAAATTTTCGAAACATTTTTTTTCTGAATTTTTTTGCAATGATACCGCAAAGGTATCATCTTTTAATCATGATCAGAGGTGATCATGGGGGTTGAAGATTAACAGGAAATTTTTATATTAATAGTGAATCGCTTATTTTTCACAAAATGGCGTCGAGAATGTGAAAATTTTATTAAAATCTTAACTTATCATTTTCTTGAAAACTATATACTTTAGGAAAAAGTTGCTAAGATTAATAATGTCTTAGAATTAGTCAAGGAACACTCTCAAATTTTTTCAGAAATTTTGCAGACAATTTTTGATTTTCTGATAAATTCGGGAAATCCAATTTTCCAAAAATATCTTTAAAAATTCTGAAAAAATTTAAGAGTGTTCCCTGACAGATTCTAAGACATTTTTGTTCTTAGCAATTTTTGCCCAAAGTCTATAGTTTTTGAGAAAAAAATTCTTTTCTCCTTCAATTTGGCAAAAAAAATCATTTTTATGTATACAAACGTGTATACCTACGGACATGTGTCTTTCTTTAATTTCTCTCTCTCTCTCTTCTTCATTTTCTCGTCTTTTATGTATGTACATGTGTTTGTGTGCAAAGGCTTATACATTGTTTTTTTTCTACTCTTAACGTCATCCAAAGACAACGGCGCGGACGTTGTAGAAATTTGTCTCTTTTGGGGTGCTTTTTTTGTGAGTCCCCTTGCCTCTCACGTTACGGAGTGCTTCTTTTCCGTGAGTCCCCTTGCCTCTCACGTTACGGGGTGCTTTTTTCCCGTGAGTCCCCTTGCCTCTCACGTTACGGGGTGCTTTTTTTCCGTGAGTTCCTTTGCCTCTCACTTGTACAGAACTTCTATCAGTGCTTTTTTGCCCAACAATTATTGCAAACATACAAATTACATTCTTTACAAATAATCTTTGTTCTTATTGGACAGATTTCAATTGAACACCTTTTCAATATGCCGCTACTAGATCGTGTATGAATTATTTGACTTTTTTGTTGACTTTTTTGAATATAATATTTAGCAATCGAAATCGTGAACTCTTTTATTCCAACTTTTTTGTTTCCATCATGAACAGCATTGAAAATTACAAGAGCATTTGTAATGGATGCCTGTATAAGTCTCATAAAAATGACCTATGTCCATTTTTTGGATTGTATACTTGGAAGTACATTATTGCAGTGTCCATCATGCACGTCAACACCTCCCATAAATTTGTTATATAGATGAAAAGCTTGCGGAAAAAGTACTTCAATTTTAGATCGAGCCTCTGAACTGTATCTTCTTGAAGTTGATAGTGGAGTTATACCTGCAGCAGTTGAAGCTATTGAAACGGGCTTTGAATCCATGATGGTGATAAAATTTATGCCACTATTTAGATCATGCTTTACAATATAAGTTTCTCGTGGAGCCTTCTTATCAAGCACATTATTTTCTTTGACTGAGATTATCTCTGATAGTACCAGTGCGTTTCAAACGTAATTTCTGCAAATGTAAAATCAAATCCATATTCGTAAAAAAATTATCAAAATACAGATGAAACTCAGGGATTTTATTATAATTTATTATTTGAAACAAAGGTTGTAATAAATTCAATACTACGCGAGAACCTAAAGCGCATTTTGCTAATTTATTCCCGATCTGATAATTCTTACCGCAATAAAGATCTAAATTCAGTAGATAGCCGTCCAACCAAAGTGCATAAGCCCCAAAATTTCAAACCAAATCTTATTGGTTTCCCACGAATAAATTGTTTCAATACAGTTTTTGCATAAGACTTGGCCATCATTTCGTCAATAGATAAAGCAGTTTTCCATATTCCGAATTTTAGGATGTTGTTTTGGAAAAGTTTCAACAGCGAACGAACGCGCCACCCTTTATCATTTGGATCCTCGTCTTTAGCTTTTGAATATTTTATTTTAGACTTGATTTCTTCAAACTTATTGCGAGACATTGCAGAAGAAACAATTTCACAAGATAAAAACGGATCAGATGACCAATAATCTCTCTGAGACTTTCTTTTATTGAATGAACTAAAAATAACTATACCCATGAAA